CCCACCACCTCCCCACCGAGCCGGCCGAAGCACCTCCCCACCGAGCATGCTGAAGCACCTCCCCACCACCTCCCCACCACCTCCCCACCGACCTGGCCGAAGCACCTCCCCATCACGTCCCCACCGAGCCGGCGGAAGCACCTCCCCACCGAGCCGACCGTAGCACCTACCCACCAAGCCGGAAGAAGCACCTCCGCAGCGAGCCTACCGAAGCACCTCCCCACCACCTCCCCACCAACCTGGACGAAGCACCTCCCCATCACCTCCCCACCGAGCCGGCCGAAGCACCTTCCCACCACCTCCCTACCAAGCCGGCGGAGGCACCTCCCCAACACCTCCCCACCGAGGCTACCGAAGCACCTCCCCACCACCTCCCCACCGAGCCGGCCGACGCACCTCCCCACCACCTCCCCACCGAGCCGGCCGAAGCACCTTCCCACCACCTCTCCACCGACCCATCCGAAGCACCTCTCCACCGAGGCGACCGAAGTACCTCCCCACCACCTCCACACCACCTCCCCACCAAGCTGGCCGAAGCACCTCCCCACCACCTCTCCACCGACCTGGCCGAAGCACCTCCACACCACCTCCCCACCACCTCCTCATCAAGCCGGACGGAGCACCTCCCTACGACCTCCCCACTGACCCGGCCCATGCACCCCCCCACAGAGCCCACCGAAGCATCTCCCCACCACCTCCCCACCGAGCCGGCCGAAGCACCTCCCCATCGTGCCTACCGAAGCACCTCCCCACCGACCTGGCCAAAGCACCTCCCCACCACCTCCCTACCGAGCCGGCCGAGAGACCTCCCCTCCACGTCCCCACCGAGGAAGCCGAAGAACCTCCCCACCACTTCCCCAGAGAGCCGGCCGAAGCACCTCCCCACCACCTCCACACCGAGCCGGCCGAAGCACCTCCCCACCACCTTCCCACCGAGCCGGCCGAAGCACCTCCCGACCGAGCCTACCGAAGCACCTCCCCACCACCTCCCCATTGAGCTGGCCGAAGCACCTCCCCACCGAGCCTACCGAAGCACCTCCCCACCACCTCTCCACCGAGCCGGGCGAAGAACCTCCCCACCGAGCCTACCGAAGACCTTCACCACCACCTCCCCACCAAGCCACCCGAAGCACCTCCCCACCACTTCCCCACCGAGCC